TCCGAGCGGCAGCCTCGTCTACGGCCGCTGGGTCCATGGTGCCATTCGCATTGGATTGGCGAGATGCGGCGGCACGGTCGGCCGACTGTTGGGCGCGTCGAGAGCTGGTGTTTGGATCATGACGAGACGATGTTCGAGGAGGTACGGCGGTAGGCATATTACTTCGCCTTCTGTCCGAAGACGACGGTGGTTGGTCGGAAGCAATGGAGGTCACGGGAACCGGGACGGAGGACTGGGCAATGGCGGTGCCGGAGCTCATGTGAGGCTCAAAGCCGGTCGGTTGGTCGTAGGCGCTGGGTCTTCGGGATTGTTGTTGCGCTGATGTGTGCGACGATGATTGTCCGGCGTTGTGCTGGTTTGCATAATAGCCGGAGCCGGGGCCTTCTCGCGTCGTCGGGTCGGGGTGGAACGACGAATACTGGCGATTGGATGGCGACGTGGTAGCGGATACTGGTATGGACTGGTTCGGCGTCGTCTGAAAAGCAGTAGACATTTGATCTGCCCTCTGAAGCGCAGAGAAGAAGGAGACGGGGGTGGTGAAGGTGACCGCCGGTGAGGACAGCGAGGTGCGAAGCGAAGCGGCGGACCGACTAGAGGAGGCGCTGGGCAAATGTTTTGATGTTGTGTGTGCCCGTGGGCAAGGAGCTGGCTTCGGCTGTGGTACTCTTTGGCGGTTGGCCAACGCAGGTGGGCAACGCTGCGATTGCCCAGTCCCAGTTGGGTCTAAGGGGGGTCTGCTTGTTCTTGCTCGATTTGGTCTGGTACCGGCAGAAACCTGGGCCGGACGGGGGGGAGTCGACGGGGAGGATGATGGGAAGGAAAAACGAAAGCGACAGGAGAGAGAAGGAGGAAAAAAAAAAAAAAAAAAAAAAAAAAAAAGAGACGAAAAAAGGCAATGATGGTGCTTGACACGTCCGGGACGGGCTCCCGCTTCGAAACACAATGCAACCAAATTAAAAAAAGGTTCGAATGCCTGTTTGCGTACAGAGCCAACCAGAGAGACTAAGCAACCGCCTGCTAGCCGACCTCTCTAGCAGTTACAAAGGGCAACTACCTAGAGGTATTCACCAACTGGCCAATTCGAATGTTACGTATTGTACTGAGGCGTGGTGTCTTGGTCCCTGGGTTTCGCAGAGTAGTTTATTAGGGGTATCGCAAACCGGTGTTGAGGTTGAGTGCCTCCTGTCGTCGGAGTGTCAAAGTGTTGCAGATGCAGTGTCGGCGACGCGGTAGTGGAAACACCCAGCAGCCAGGGCCCGGGGAGTCCTTGTTTACTTTGGACTCTCCTCAGTCACAGAACAGGCGGTCCGATGGAGTTGGACGAATCCGAGTCGGCTCTTGAGACTCTGCGACGGGGGGTTCCGAGGGTATTCCCGACACTTTGCTGTACGATGATGGGCCGTCTTGCTCCGTCCAGGCCGGGCATGCGAAGTGAAAGTGATCGATCGTGGGGTGTAAACCTGAGTCGCGTTGTTGACTTCAATTTTGAAATCGTAAGGTAGGCAAGAACGGGATGAAGGAAAGCGCAAGCGGCCGTCGTCGATTCAGTGCACCAGGGGGGGGCACTACAACTATCGGGTACATGTGCCCACCGAACGCGTCAGGCGCTGAGACGAGGTACCTTCTCCACTGCTTCACACAGCCGTAACTTAACGGGATGGAACCAATCTTACAGCAATCAATACAGCACAACCCCATCGCAGCTGTACGTCTCCTTTGTCGTCATTGGCATGTTTACTGGCGACAACAGTTCCATCTCCAATTCCAACAAGACCGATGAATGAGAATGAGCTCGCAAAACTCGGCGGTTGATCTCATTTTTCCCGTCTTATTTTATCTCTAGTGTAGGGCCCTGCAGCTCAATGCTTGCCTATGCAGCACCTTGATGGCCCACAAATGCTACCATCCCACGGTCTGCGGGAAGCATGGTGACGGTTTCAATCCAGCAGCCCTTGATATCGAATTGGTCAAAGTATTTCCTTCTAGAGGAATGAATCTCATGAATCTGGCGAATTCAAGTCTGCGACCACCTACTTTGGGACAGACAAAGGTCTCGTCAGCATCCGGAATGGAATTGTTTGGGCAATGCGACGGCCACGCATTGCCGTCATCTCAATGCCAGTCCGTGAAATCCACTCACTCACCCATTCATCCACTTCATCCACTCACCACATCAACTCCAAGTCTCCAACCGACCTCGAAAAAGACCAAAATGCAAGAAATCTCCGTACCCCCCGCTGCTCAACACAGCCCAGTCATCAACCCTGGACGTCTTTCGACTTGGCTCTCAGGCCCAAGCAGAATAGGAGATGACTCTCTCTCACCAGCTCCGCTTTTTCCAATTTCAACGGTATCCAGACAACCACGCTACCGACCTTTCGAAATCTAAGCCAATGATCTACGCATTTCCTGGCCGGTCCTGCCGTATCCGAATGCACCCCACAGCTTCACTGCAACTCGAAAAATTCACACGCTCGAGAAAGTCGAAAGTCCGTCACGGTCGATGTTCGTTTGGCCGTGGTTTGGCGGTTTGGGTACCAGTAAGGTAGCCAAGTCAACGCGCTTGTCCTATTCGGGCTAGATTCTCACGCATCGCTCATCCTTTCGAGGGAAGCGCAAGGGTCAGGTTCGCAGCTTGCAGCACTTGCAGGTGCATGAATGTGCAGCGAACACACATCCTTCCACGCTTTCAACCCGACGTCGAGATTCGACCGGCCAGTTGCTCTCACACACTGCGAACCTGTACATTCGCAATTCCAACCACTCAAACATCTCAAAAGTCCATTTGGTGAGACTGAGGTTGATTCGCAACCACAACCCGGAGGCTGCGACAAAAGGGGCTTCCTTCGTTAAAACACCTTCTACCGCGAGGTAGGTACCTATGGCCGTGGTAGCCATGTTTACCGCCAGATTAAAATCCCGTACTTTGGATGGAATCCCCTTTCCATCCCGTTCCACAGAAAATCAGGGAGCATTGGGAAGCATTGACCTCCCGGACAATACTGATCGCCCAATCGATCCATATTCCAGGGATCTTTTTCTTCCATGGAACCGGCCAAACTTCTTTTTCCAGGTCAGCATACCAAAAAGGCGAACGCACGCCCGGCATGTGGTCCGCATCCTTGAAAGGGGATATGGTGTGGCTGCCTGCCACTTTTCACTCATGAAGCATCTCTGTAATGACGTTGTATGACAGCAGGAGAACATCACAGGCCTAGGTCCTTACCAATATTGACAGATATCAGACTGGGTGTTGTGTGCCAGAAGGAATTTGTCCCAAAAAGGGAGGTATCTTTCACGAGCCAGTTGATTCACCGTTGCATGGCATTTTCCATCCAGATGTCACCGCGGTTCACCGGGTTCAATGTCGGAACCTAACGTTTCACCATCGTCGCTTTTTCTCCTTCAACGACGATTGCAGGATGCGACTTCAATCGAACCCTTCTTTGGCTGGAGCCCCAGCCAGCCGGGGAACTCTCACTGCGCGCATACGATAGAGTCAAGTATACGATCTTTCGAGATCTCAATCAAGCTCAAATTGGGCAGGTGGCCAGCCAACAACCAACCGGCTGCCACCGACCCCGGATTTACACACGACTCGTACATCAACATTCCACAGCACCGTAACCTGCGAACACCTGAAAATGGAAAAGCCCTAAAATTCCGGGGTTCAGGGCGGAGAATTTAACTGACAAAGGGCCTACGAAAAAGGTACAAAACTGCGACTAACAAGAAATGACGACCCTACTGTAAGGGGCAGAGTGCTTGCAGGTTCGGGTGTGTCAGCCTCCCATATCCAATTTAATATCTGGGAATACCACTTTGCGTATGGGACGTGTGAGTGGTACGTACACCCCCCCTCCCCCCTATATATATATATATACAGTATGTTACATAGGTACGTGAGGGAACTGCCTACCATGCTCTCTTGCGAATAGCAGGGCAGCGCGTTAACCACTCTGCCAAAGTGACTAACTCGCTATTGGATGTTAGAAGGTTGATTTGCATGCTGCTACATGTCTAGGTAGACCGGACTTTGAGAGAGATAAAGTCGAGAAACACTAGTTGCTTTCTGGTATGCGATGAACAACAGCAGACGAGTGGTGATACCATCATCTGAACTTCCATGACCGTGTCCACTTCTCACGCATGAACAACTACCCCGACATGCCTTGCTCCCACGCATGGCGGCTCTTTCAAACTCTTTCAAAATCAGGCAGTGTCCTGGGACAGGATGATCCACTGCAGAGCATGGACTGGCATCCTGATAATCTTAGACAAACGCTACATATCCGTCCCATGGATGGTCCATCTTGCCGCATGAGCCTGACTCGGGTCCCGTCGCGAAGCATAAAAAATCCCTTGACCAATAAAGGGTAAAAAGGTGGCCTCCATACGAGGCTTCCAGAACCGCTTTCGATTGAGTGTCAAGATGTACACTCTAAAGCTGGTTTGTTTGCTAGTTCGAGGCCTTTGTTCCATAACCAATGCGTAGTCTTACCTTGAATTTACTATTTCGAGATTTCGACATGCCACATTGAATCTTGCTGATGTCTTTCGTTCTGTGAACAAAGCGTAATCATACCTTAGATATGCTGTTTTGAGAATCAAATATGTCATACTGAATCTTGTTGATGATTTCCGTTATATGACCAAAGCGTGATCATATCTTGAATATGCTGTCTCGGAAAATCCATCTGCCATTTTGAATCTTGTTGATGCCTTTCCGATTCGTACCTAGCCATTACGTCTTGTCCTTCTGAGGGTTGGGAAGTTCAGGATAAATCTCGTCCAGTATACTAGGAGTACCAAGCTAGCAAACAAGCAAACAAACCAGTATTACTATAGATTGTAGATATGTTGCAGGTTAATGTTGCACGACACGTTTGTCTCGTGTGACTGATTTGGAATCAACCTGGAAGAGCAGCGTTGAGATTTGAGAACACACTGTGCTACTTAGTAAAATGAAGTTGACCCTTCTAACATCCAATGATATGTTAGTCACTTTGGCGGAGTGGTTAACGCGTTGCCCTGCTATTGCAAGATAGCCGTCAGGCAATTCCCTCGGGAGCGCAGGTTCGAATCCTGCAGGTGACGTTTTGTTTTTGCGTTTTTTTTGCCTCGTCAACTGAACGACTCGTTCTGTCTTTGAACAAGAAGTCATATCGACAATTATCTAGCTCATCTTTGACGTTTTGCTGATTGATGCTTTTCCCTGCATGTTGGGTTTTTTTCTTTGGCTATCCACGCGAAGCGAATCCACCTAACCGACGAGTAGGCCTGTTATAACTTTTGCGCAGGTTCAGTAGTTCCGTCCGTTTGTAACTCTTGTTGCCAAATTTACCCGACGGCAGCCAACATAGCTCCTTCCTCAATTCAACAAAGACAGTACTCGTTTGGGCAAGAGTGCCCTCCAGACCCAATGCTGCGTGGTATGATTGGCGTTGAGAGCCCACACAAGTAGTACCATCACTGGTACTCAAGAAAGAACAACATTCAGGACATCGCCCTGGTGGCTGGTTTGTTTGAGTTGAATTAGATACCCAATTTTGGTATGATGCGAGGGGCGTAACTCAATGTGACTTTTTCAACAATACAAAAAGCCGATAACCTCTCCTTTTTACAACTTGATCGTAACATTATACACATCCAACCCAACCGCCACTGCCGTCACGACCCCCATGTATCCAACCAATATCCCCACCGTCACCACCCGGCCGACATCCAGCGTTGGCACCGTCATATTGACCAGTCCCGTCAACAAGTTCGCCAACAAGAAGATGGCCAAGCCGTTCCGGTTATACGCCCTCAGCACCTTACTCGTCGCCGTGTCATATAGCTCCTTTTCGGTCTTGGCGTCCTGGGCGCTGTAGAACGAAGGGAAAATGAGCGCATCCACAAGGTAAAAGGCGAAAAGCAGGACGGCATTGGAGGCGGCTACCCAGAGCATGTACGGCAGGTTGGCCATGCGGCGGGATACGGTCAAACCGAAGCCGTACTTGTAGTCGGTCGCGAAGAAGTAGAGAGCTGTCCAAATGAGGGACCAAGCGGCCATGTTCAGCAGGAGAGACCTACGCTGAACGGTGCCGCTGGTCTTGTTGGTGCCGCTGCTACGGTTCAAGCTCCGCGGAAGAACGAGCATACCGGTGTCTTGACCCGCAAGGAAGATGGCCAAATAACCAAAGAAGCTGAAGATGCCTTCCCTGTTCATAGACAAGAGATCGGTTCGCGGCCCAGCCAAGATGTAGGCCTTCAGCGACGTTGTCTCCAAGAGAACCTGATACACCACGCCCAACAGGAGGGCCAGGCCAGCGTACGAGGGAACGAACTTGAGGGCGGACTGGAACAGCGCGACGAAGGGCGGCAGGAAGCCCAAGGTAAAGAAGAAGTTCCAGTGCACGCCATACTCCGTCACATGCTCGGCGTAGTCCAGCCCCTTGACACTTAACAGGCGGATGAAGCCCAGCACAAGGAGCGGCAGGGAGTGGCGCAGTGACGTCTTGAGGCGGGTGCTCAGGGGTGTGGCCTTGCCCTCGGCACGCTCCTTGAGCACCGGCCGCGAGGCGACAACGCCGGCCGAGAAAACAAAGGAGCCGACGCCCATGTCCATCAACGATGTGCCCCATGTCTCGACCTTGGCGAAGCGGCGGGGGAAGAGACGAAAGTCAACGGCGAGGATGCAGATGCAGGTGACGATAAGCATGTTGCCGCGGTAGTTGGTCAGGAAGGGCTTGGTGGAGAGGACCCCGAGGGGTTGCTCCGAGGAGCTCTTCTTGGACTGGGCATTGGGAGGAACCAGGGGCTTCTTCCTTCGGGTGTGGGCGGGGACGATGTAAACAAAGGCGGCGACTGTGAGGAGAGCTAGGTTGAGGAGCAGGGGCGCGGAGGAGTATAGCGTGACTGAGAGCAGGAGGGCGCCGACATTGAGGAGGAAATCGACGGCATAGCCTAGTGGTGTGTAGGACCTGAAGAACGATTGTCGAGCTTGGAGGACGGACCACACGAGTGAAACGACCTAGGACATATACAGAGATTAGCTCCCGTCATTCGACTTGTGGTGACATGATGCCACGGACAGCAGCATCCCATTCCGATGCTCCCGCGGGTGTTGTTTCATACAGGTGCTACGGCACAGACTTGTGCGATTTCAGAAACGGAGCCTCCTGACAGGTTTGAGACAAAGTCCTCTTTGAGCTGCTTGTAGCTCTGGGCTGTTGTCAAGTTGGCGGCCATGGAGGGCGAAGAGTGAGTAGCCATTCGACGTGCGCAATAAGGTACCGACGTTCGAGAATGACGGGAGGTGATGGGCGGTCGTGGGAGATGGGAAGGGTGAAGCTCGACGGCTAGCGACACATTGCTGCGGGAAGTGATTGGCCTTTTTGGTTTGGAACTGGTGGCGGAAACCAGAAGTTGTCAGAATGAGTAGTGATGATGGCTGGAGGAAAAGTGTCAAACAACAGCCTCGCGATGACAAGTTGCAAGTTTCCCCGGCTGGTTTCAGCCTTCTAGAATACTAGTGTTGTCGAGATCTCCGGGAAGGAAGCAACTGAGCAATGCCGTTTTCCGACGACGTCAACCAATCGTGGGTGCTTGAAGGTGCCAAGACCAAGCCCAACGGCCTGGCTACCGTATAAACTCGGGAAACTGGCAAACCTCTAACCCTCTTTGAGCGCCCGACAGCCAGCACAGTCAGCAGCATACCTAATATGCTCTATACGCCCAATTTTGACTGCAATTCAATGCACACAGTGTCGATAGCCGTCGGGGGTTATAGCCTATTGTTCCAGCTCTCTCCCTATTCGTTTCCCCTATATTCTATATACCCGTACCACCCTCATCGTCGTACTATTATCGCCAGCTGTTATAAGGGTTATAAAGTATCGCTATATCCCAATCGAACTAATTAAACGCGGGCGGTAATAGTAGTCCCCTATTATAATTATCTTAGTAAGAGATTGCCTAACGACGCCCTAATCTCGCAATTAAACCGTACAACCGCTATAAAATTAGGCGAAAGAAGCCGCTTAAGCGATTTAACCGGTCCTATTCACATTAAAAAAAATTATAAATTAATAATTAACGTAACCTTATACAATAATTAATAGAAATAATTAGGGTAGGGGTTTAATACTAATAGAATTCGCGAATAGGTTATCGCTTTCCTTACCCAACGGCGCGTCCTATATAATAAACCGCTACGGATTTAAAATAGCAATAGGCGAACCCACAATAGCACTCGCGATATTATGTATAATAAAGCTTACAATATATATAGCGTACCCTATCGAACTATCGCGAACTAATAAATAGACTACGAAAATATTTTATTAAAACTAACAAAGGAAGGTAAAGCGATATAGCTAGAAATAGAGGGGCAATTATATAACGCGTTTTGGACCGCCCGCCAAAATAATAATTTAATAATTATAGTATAATTTCGCTGTAGATCTAAGGCCCTCTTCAACGAAATTTACCCTAATATCCCTCGTATATTTAAATTTTTACGCAGTTAGTTTAGCAACTTTTTAACGCAATACTATATATTTTATTGTCGGATTACTTATTAAACTTAGCAATTGCCAAGCGAGTTATACGTTAAAATAAACTTATTCCTAAAGTAAGACGATTAGAATAAATAAATTATCGGGGAAGGCCTAGAGAATATCGGCGAAGACCTAAAGATTTTCGGAGGCTAATAATAGAAACCTACAAGTTTATTAAGCGCAATAATCAGCTGACCGTATTTGGCGGTCCTCCCTAATTTCCTCCTTCTAATATCCTTAACTTTAATAAGATCCTTATCCTTTTCGAATTTATCGACGATTATACTTACGAATTCAAAAATATTAAGATTATATTTAGAAAGACTACCCATAGTAAATAAAGTAAATAGTAATATACTCTTATTTTCTACGTCTTTACTAACGGCGGCTAGCGTCTAAAACCGACTATTATTTTTTATAAGGAGGGGAAGGTCTTTAATAAAGAATAATACCTTTATACTTAAGATATATTAGTTAAATTTAATACTTTAATATATTAAAACAAATAATTTCTTTATAACTAATTCGAGGAGGAGTTTGCGCCTATTTCGAGGGAGTTGGGGGAGACGCTTATAATTATAAATATATACCTATCTTATAGCTCCCAGCTCGTATGCGATAAGATTAACGCGATACCTAATAAAGTAGTAATAGCTATAATCCCTAATAGTCTTACGAATTTACTATAGCCGTTGGATATAGTTATTAATTCTACGTTTAAATAAATAATAAAAGACAAAGTCGATTAAACAGCTTTCGAATAAGATGCCTAATACCCAGGTAAAAAATAGTCTATATCCAATAAGAGGGTATTAATTATTTATGCTATCTCTCGCATTTACTAGCGCCTATAAATTAATAAGAAAAATATTATAATTAAATCTTTTAAAGACAACGGTATCTCTATCCTTCTAAATAGATTATAAAATTACCTTATCAATATTAAAAATATCGACAAAAATACCCTAATTTAAGATAATTAATAAACGGCTAGCAATATCCTTAACATTAATAATTTTAATAATATTCCCGAGTATAAAAACGATAAAGGTTTAATCTACATAATTAACGACGAAGAAAGATAAAAGGTAAAAGAGAGAGTAGAAGAGAGGGTATACAAGGTTAGGAAGGTTATATATAACTATTATACTATACCCGTATTAAAAAGGATAATAAATAAGAGAAATCTATTAAAAAAAGGTTGTAAAAAGAAGAAGAATTATTTTATTACTTTAATTTTATATAATAAAAAGTAATAACGAACTTAATAACCAATAGTCTAAATAATAGCAATCAAACTTTATTACCCCTATTAATAGATTCGCCACCTTCAATATTATCACCCTTATCAATAGACTCGCCACTTTCGGTATCATTACTATCCTTACAATAATAATAATAAACAACAAAACCATTCTATTAAGTACGAACCTTCTAAAAGCGGTTATCTTAACAACTCTAATATCTGCCTAAATCTACAATATAATAACGCACCTCCTTCCCATCCCTAACCTCGTTCTCAATAAAATAATAGCTACTATTACGAACCTAACT